ACCCTAATGTTGACCCTAATGTTGACCCTAATGTTGACCCTAATGTTGACCCTAATGTTGACCCTAATGTTGACCCTAATGTTGACCCTAATAATTAGAAAAGACCTAGATCTAAATTGCCTAATAATCCTAACCCTAGGCCTTATTAGATTTTACGAAATTCACAGATCTAGTTCATCGTTGTGCCGATAGTGGGATTTCTACAACCGCGCCTTCGATCGTTGCAGATGGTACGCGTCCCAGTCCACCGGGTGTTTGGCCTGGAACTTGTTTACACCGTAGGATCCGTCCGCACCAGGCTTCATCATCTCATCGAACAACTCCTTGATCCCCCTCGCCTGCTCATCCTTTCCACCATGCACCCATGCAAGCCTCACCAAATCCTTCGACATCCGGGATGCTGCTGATGAAGCGATTTTAAGTCGGGTAAGGAAGCCATCTAACACCATGGACAGCTGCTCGGCATCTTCTGCAAGCTCCATGATGAGCCCTCGTGTCTTGAGTTCAGCCGCTGTCACCGACCGAGCAGACAGCATGGCTTCTCGAGCGAAAGGAATCCCCCATTCTCGAATGACATATTTGGAGATGGTTGCTGGGCACAAGCCTAGCTTTACTTCGCTCAGGGTCATGGTCGTGGCTTTAACGGCCAGTCGAATGTCGCAGGCAAACGCCAGCCCGACGCCACCACCAAATGCAGGCCCGTTCAGACACGCGATGGTTACTTTGGGACTCTGGTCGATAGCTTCCAAGAGATTGACAAGCCTGTCATATTGTGTGTCACTTGTTGACCCTCCCTGAGCCACGGGGGTACTTCCTTTGGCCAGGTTCATTCCCGTGCAGAAGAACTTCCCGCTGCCAGTGAGAATGATGCGGGTGATTGATGGGTCCGCGTTGGCGTTCTTGATTACTGTTGTGAGTTCATCTGTCAATGCCGCAGAGAGAGCGTTGCCATTCTTTGGACGGTTCAAAGTGATTTTCAAATTCACACCGCTTCGGGACAGGAGCAGTCCTTCGGTTTCTCCGACGACCATCCATTGCAGGTTAGTTGCATTCGCTGATTGTTGAGTCAACTTGTGCTTCACGATCAACGCTGGTCCCGCGCGGCTGGAGTTTGATTTAGTCAGTCGCTCCGATATCCAGGCCCCTGTCTCCGCCAGTTTCAACAAGTCTACTCCCGTATCGACTCCAGACTTCTGAAACATATAGACTAGATCCTCTGACGCGACATTACCTTTTGCCCCAGGCGCAAACGGGCAGCCGCCAAGCCCAGCCACGCTGCTGTCAAATACCCGAACACCACACGTGTAGGCCTCCCACACATTCGCTGCCGCTCCCCCGTAAGTATCATGGAAATGGCCTGCGAGTTGCTCGAGCGGTATGTCATTATCCTTCAGATATGTAACAAGGCGACGGACCTCGAGAGGAGTGCCCACTCCCAAGGTATCGCCGAGGCTCACTTCGTAGCACCCAGCTTCAAGGAGTGTCCTTGCACAAAGGAGCACCGAGGACGTCGGCGTCGGGCCGTCATACGGGTCTGCGAATATACACGATACGTAGCTGGAATCATTAGAGGAAGCTGGATTCTCGGTCGTTTCTCGACTCACCCTCGGACCGCAATGTTAGCGTTCACTGCAGCAGATGCCACCTGCTTCGCTCTCACTAGACCCTCTTCGACGGTGCCATTTATGTTGGCTCGACTAAACCCCTCTGTGGCGCTGACAAAGACCGCAACCTCTTGGACCCCATGCTGGACGGCGATCTGAAAGCCTTTGAGGTTCGGAACAAGAACCGGCAGACGGAGGTCCGAGGTCCGTAATAATTGCTGAATCATTGGATTTTGCAGGACCTGCCGACAGTCTGCCAGCTGGGGAATTGCTCGAGGGGAGACGACTGAGGTTAATTCGATGGTCTGGAGTCCTGTTGCTCGTAGTCGACTAATCAGCTCTAGTTTGGTGGTCGTGTCCACTGGGTCGCGAATATTTTGGAGTCCATCGCGGGGCCCGACCTCGACTATTCGTACGGATTGTGGGGCTGATGACATTGTCTTTGATTCATCCATACTATCAATGTGCTATTTTGCGCGGATTCTGGCTGTGGATATAGTTGTTGGTAATCCGTTCCCCGGACCGCCCTTCGTCCCCGGATCTCTCCGGCGTCCGTACCCCGGACCGACCCTGCGAGGTCCGCTTATGTATGCTCTGTGATTGGTTTGCTCTGATCTATCCTACTAAGTACTGCTACTACTACTACCGGTAGTAGAGTATATGATCCCACATAAGAAGCTGTGCTCTACAGTCTGGCTCCAATATGCCGCTCTTTTACCAGCCGATTCACAATCTCCCGCAGGAGGTGCTTCTGGTGCTTTCCACTGCCAGTCTTGGGAAAGTCGTCTCCCATTCCACGCTCTCCCAACCAGAACACATGATGGGGGGTCTTGTGACGACCGAGCCGGTCACTGACCCATTGTGTGACTTCGGGATCCGAGATTCTCTGGCACCCCACAGCAGCTTTCAAGACGCATCCAACAACCTCTCCGTATCGCTCGTCCTTAATGGCTATAACACTGGCTTCACTGATCGAGGGGTGCGACATCAGCTGATCCTCAATCTCACGGGGGAAAATATTCTCCCCCCCTGGTTGTTCAATGAGCGATTGATTCAGTCTGTAGGCCTCTCGTAACTGAATCACTCACCTCGGATAATAATGTCCTTGATACGACCGGTGATATGTCCGTATCCCTGGTCATCCAGCATGACTTCGTCTCCGGTGTGCATCCAGAGCACCCCATTTTCATCCCTCCTCATCACCTCCCTCATCTTTTTCTCATTTCGAAAATATCCTTTCTGCAACGCGTAGCCGCTGACGCACAGCTCACCTCTCTGACCCCGGGGCACAATCCTGCCGTTCTGGTCAATTACTTTCACCGCGGTATGAGGCATCACCCTCCCAATAGTGGCTGTCCGCCTCTCCTCCGGGTCATCCAACGATGTAATAAAATTCACCGGGCTTGTCTCTGTCATTCCATAGGCAATCAGCATCTTATCGCACCCCATCAGCTCACGCAGCTGGTGCATCAGGTTCTGGGACACTGCTGATCCCGATGCGAGCCCCGTCCTGAGGCGTCGTGGTCGCTGTCCTGTTTTTGCAATGACCTCCAATTCTGCTAGAAACATCGTAGGCACTCCTAGGATTACCGTGGCGTCCTCGCTCATGACGGCATCCACAATGCTGCTGGCGCGGAAATGATCGGAAGGGAAGAGGATAGAGCTTCCGTGGCAGAACGAGGCTAGCAGACCCATTACAAGGCCAAAACAGTGGAATAGAGGCGGGCCACAACAGATGACATCCTGCGGGGTGAGGCGCATGGCGTTGCCGACGAAACGTGCATTGTTGATGATGTTGCTGCGGGGATCTTAGCTGTCGTTGTAGTAGTACCACTGTGTCAGACGTACATGTTGGTTAACATAGCGGCTTTTGGAGAGCCAGTCGTACCTGGGACAGGGTCAGAAATGATTCATGGAGTTGGATAACTGATTTACCGACCGGATGTGAACTGCAAGTTCAGCACATCTTCCGGTGCAAGGCCCCGCTCTGCTTGTGCAAGCAGCGCATCTCCCTCGTGCACTGTACTGCCCCTCACCGTGAATTGTGCATATGACTCTAACATGACACCTCGCGCACCGCCAACATCCCCCCTCAAGCAAACCACCCCTCGAAGCTTTGGGAGCTCTGGGTTGCGGTCTTGATGACCACGGAGAACCCCGATATGGCCAGCTAGGCTTCGAGATCCGATACTAGGTGCAATGAAGACCAGCGTGCAACCTCGTGTTGATCATCAGCGTATACCCTTGTCAATTATCGCGATCGAGTGTGGCCAGATACCTACAGCTTCGGTGTACAGCGTTCTTCAACTCCTCCGGGGTGTACGTATTGTTCAGTACGACAACCGGACACCCAATTCGTGCTGCCCCCATGAAGACCTCCACGTATTCGGAGCTGTTCCCATCCATGATCCCTATGCCATCCCCGTGTTGGAGACCCGTCTCTAATAGTGCCTTTGCTACCGCTTTACTTCGAGTCGCAAGATCGCGATAGGACAGTCGGACGGATTGCCAGGGGACAATCACGGCCGCACGATCACCGTAGCGACCCGCCTGTTCGTGAATGAGATCGCATAAAGTTGTATTTATCAGGAGCTCGGGCTCTTTCGGGCCGTGGACGAGCGATAGCTGGGCAGCCATGATGGAACTTTGTAGGGAAATGAAGAAGCGTACTTGATCTCGGCTAAGGTCAGGTGAGCTGAGGGAAAGGAGGCGAGCCCGTCCAATGTATACAGACCCCTCGGAGCAGCCCACATTCTAGCGCATAGAATACATCTTTAATATTTTCCTGCTTACCCGGTCAAGCGGGGAAGTGCATGTGGACCTGCTGTCCGGCTGCCACAGCCCTGGACGGACGACCACCGGGATTCGGACCGGGCAGCGGAATCGAAGCTCTGCCCTCTAGCTTGACGGAATCAAAACAAGAACTCTTCCATCAACCGTCGTATTGCAACGTTCAATCATAACTATCTTCGCTATTGTTTACCATGCCTGCCACATCACTGTTTCCCGTAGTCAACTCTCGCCTCGACCTCCGGGGGGAACAGTTCCAACAGAACAAAGCCAGATGGGAACCGGTTCTGGAGCGATTCGAAGATTCCCTGAGGCAAGTCAGTGCAGAGGGCAATGATGCTTCACTGAGACGGCACCAAAGCCGGTGCCAGTTGTTGCGCAAGTCAACCAACCCCCGTATCTAACCTGTGCGACTAACCATGAGTAGCCCGAGACAGAGTGGCCCTGCTTTTGGACCAGGATTCCCCGTTTCTGGAAGTGGGATGCTTTGCGGGCTTCGGCAATGAGGACTCGACGCCCTGCGCGAACCTGATTGCAGGAATAGGTAACGTCAGGTGGGTCGTGTTCGCCATCATTTGTCAGAAGCTTTTTCATTGAGTGACTGTTAGTGGGCGGCCATCCTTTGTCATGTCGCATATCCCAACCCAGAGTGGCGGCGCCTGGAATGAAATGACAGGTGTGTATCAAGCTTCAAATCTCGACGACAGGTAGATAAATCTGACAGACCGAAGTCGTGAAGGTAAACCGTGTGATGCAGATTGCCTTCGAGAATGACCTACCTCTTATTTCATTAGTCCAATCGGTAACACTGTCTCTTCCAGTCTCCTTATCCGTGAAGTCTAATGTGTGTAGGCGGGTGTCTTTCTTCCCCAGCAGTTCCGAGTATTCCACAAGGGTGGCCAGCTCTTCCGTGATCTCGCAGTCCGCACTGCGCACGGAAAGCCGTCGTGTGCGATTGTGTTTGGCTCCTCAACTGCCGGCGGTGCCTATCATCCTGCGCTCTCAGACTATACGATCTTTGTCGAAAACCAAGCCCAGGCATTCCTCGGAGGTCCCCCACTGGTGAAGATGGCTACGGGGGAGGTGATTGGGGCCGAGGAATTGGGCGGAGCCAGGGTTCACGCGACGATTACCGGCCTGGCTGACCAGATTGCGGTGGACGAGTGTGTATACCCTTCATGCGATCCCAACCAGGTACTGACAAAGGGCATAGATTTGACGCCATTGTCAAGGCTCGGGAATGGGTTGCCTCGCTCCACGAACGATCCCCGCTATTGCCTGCGCTGATCCCACCGGTCGCTCCACGATATCCCGTTGAAGATCTCCTGTCGATTGTGAACCCGGATATCCGCAAACCTTTCGACATGCAGGAGGTATTGCTGCGGATTGTCGATGATTCGCGTCTATCCTTGTTCAAACCCAAGTATGGACCGAATATGATAACAGCATGGGCGCATATTCTAGGTATGTTTTTCACAATGCTAACCTGTGGGATGCCTTTAACATGGAACTAGGCTCCCCCGTCGGTATCGTCGCGAACCAAATCTCAGTAATCAATCCTAACGAAGCAGCCAAGACAGCACAGTTTATTCGCATGTGTAATCAACAGTACGAGCCTGACTTTTTTTTTTTTTTTTTTTTTTTTTT